ACATAAGAGCTGTTTCTTAATATGATTCACCTCTCCTTATTTCTGAAACCTTTCAATTAGGAGTTCCTATTATCGCACATTTATTAACTTCTTCTCCATCTTTTTATTGAATTCATATTAACATTCCAATTCTATAAGAAGATTACAAGACTTAAGATCAAGGCAATATACTTTTTCTACTACCATGTCTATAATTCATTCCTATTTAGATTAAAGCTTTTTCTTTTATGTAGATGATCGAAAAGACTACATTCCTAAAAATATTCTGTAATTAAATAGTAGTTGTATTTCCTGTTAAATAATACTATATGAAGATTTGATATAACTTCAACTTCTTTAAGGAAATCAGCCATTTAACACCTTCTATAATTACTTATCCAATATTTAGTTAATGAAATAATACTATAAGTAATTTCTTAGATAAATAATGTTATTAATATCTTGATAAAACATTTGTAATTTCAGTAATTTTTTTCCTTATTCTCTTCTGCGTTATACTTGAAAGTAATAAAGTTTTTGTTAAAATTTAAATGTTTCTTTATTTCAATTTAATAGATATTATTACTAAACTATTCTTTTATCTCTTTACTGTGATTAAAACCTTCTTAATTAATTTAAACTTTCATTCAAAATTAAAATCTCTATCTTTTAATTGAGAAAATAACTAACCTTTTTTGAAAATTCTAATATAAATAATTAAAATTACAAAAGATGAAGTAAAATGTTAGAATAATCTTTAAGATATTTTTTAAATATACATTATAAAAAATTTAATTATATATTCCACCATCTTCATCATTGTCCACACCACGAGTCTTATTTTTATTATTATCTTAATTTTTATTTTAATCTTTTCAATTTTACTCCATATATGAAAAAATGCTTTAAAATTTTTATTATTCTCTAGAATTATATCATCCTTTTCTACCTTCTAATGATTCCAAAGACTAATCTACCCTTTCTCCCATAAACTTTACCTAATATTCTTCCATTAACAACAAAATCTTCTCCGATGTTCCAATACTAATATAAATAAATCATATTATAAATGATTATCTGTTAATGCATATAGAGTTCTGATTTTGATTTATTATTTACAATATAAACTTGGCCATTACCAAAGTGAATAGAATGGCAAGGATAACATAATTTATTTTATGGATTATTATTAAATGAATTTTTAAAATAACTATTTGCTGTATTTATTTTCTAATCTTCTACTATTATTAAATTCGTATTATACTTTATCATATTGTATTTAAAATTTTATTTATGATTAAAATTTTCTAGTATGCTTAGGACACTCCTCCTATATTCATAGTTGTCTTGTTCTTTGAACATAAATTCTTCTTCTCTACTTTATAATAATAGTACGTTGTCTTTGCACATGTTAAGATCGATTATTATTTAATTAATGATTCTTGTTAAATTAATTCCATAATATCTAATTGCTAAATATTAGTTAGTATATTACATTTCAGAATTATGTAAATGATTATAGCCTTTTTAAAATTTTATTTGAATGGAATTTATTCAGTGATTTTTTGAATTGCTTTGAGAAGTATTAATTTTAGTTGTATATGCTATTTAAATTGTTTTGGTCAAACATGCTTTTCTAAAAAGGGAACTTTAATTCTCAAAATTTTCAATCCTTAATGAATAGACTTTTCTTTGAATGAATCTAAATGAATATATATACTAGCTAATAATTTGATTGTTTCATGATTTATATCTTCTACCTTTTATTTTACATATCCTATGCAAATAATGAGTAGGTATTTAATTAAATTATCATTCTTGATGAGTCTTAATTCTTCTTCAAATATATTGAGATGTTTCGATGCTATTTATATTTTTAATTCTTAATTTACTAAATGCTAAAGGCAACGTATGAATATTTTATTCATGTAGAAAACATTGGTTTCTAAAATTAAGGATCATGGATTTATGATAGAATCAAATTGGGAATAGGCTTATCATTACAATTATTTTGAAAGCTATGATAAAATAAACAAAAAAGATTCATGATAACCAGGTTAAATAGATGAATAATACTTTTAAACATGAACATTTAATATAAGATTTTAAAAGGAAGAAGTAAAATTGAATTTTTATCATGAATTCAAATTAATTTGTGAATTAATTTATGCAGATTTACCTAAATTGGAGGTACTCAAAATAATGAATCATGTTTGATTGCAATCATTTTTGTTAAGTTTATTCCTAATCTTTAAGATTTTAAATTTCAATTTTTCAAAGCAAGAATTAGTTTAACCTAAAAAATTTGCAGTATTTCTTCAAAAACATACAAATAAATTTGCCATAAATTATATTAGATAATTAATATTAACAAGTTAATCACTTTTATGAAAAGGGGCTAACTTAAATTATAAGATGAATTATTAGATTACTTACAATACTCAAATTCTCATACATAAAATACTAAGAATCTTCTATTATGAAAGAAAATACTTGTAATGTTATAAATTTAAAAAATATTCGAGATCACAATTTATTATCAATTCTAATAGCAAATGGTATAATATATTCTTCTATACTCTTTGAATTACAAAATCTATTAATAAAATTATACAAAATAATTCAAAACATCTGAGATATGAGAAGAAACTTATTTTAGAGAGAAATCCTTAAATGTAATTCCGTTTCAAATGGTACTTTATAGCAAAATAAACATTTAGATGTCGATGATTAACTTAGAAGAAAACCAATAATAATGGAATAATAATTAGATCTAGAGTGGATGAAAATCTTTTTTCCTATTAAAAATAAGTAACAGTCTGATTTGAAGATATTTATCAAATAAATTAAAGCTGTATCTTATACAGTTTATAATAAACATAAATATCAATTGAAATATCGATAAAAATAATTGAAAAGAAAACAAACTATTTAAATTGCTTATCTGATGATAAGGAAAAGAGAAAATTAAGGAAATTAATAATAAAAAGGGGGTTTTAAGTAAATTCAATTAAAAATTATATATAAAAATATAATATATTAATTTATTTTTTATTTTCTTCTTATAAATTTTTATATATTAGAAAATAAATATTTTTGTTTGATTTACAGTTAATACAATAAAAATAAATGTCAGAAATTTAATATTAATAAGCAAACAGCTCAAAATTAGATTAAGAAACAGCTACCAATGCTACAACTCATTTATTATTAGTTAATTTAATAAGATATTAACATTGTTAGAATATTATAGAGCTGTCTAATGAATTGCTATAAAGCTATAAACATGAGATTGATCAATTAAAATTGGAGTTACATTTGATGAAATTGAGAATAACAAATAATAATAATCAACAAATTATTACATTTACATTATTTATTTTAATAAATGGAGAATTATGAACATCAACTAAATTTAATAAAAATTGATTTTAAGATTATTTAATGAAGAAATTGTAATTAAAGTAAAATTATTTATAAAAAATAAAAATATACCTTGATCTGATATTTTGCAATTTCTGTAGTACTTCCTCTGTTTTTTAATTTAACTTTTTTATATACAATTGATATATCTTATTTATTTTTATGATTCTAAATGTTAACATTCGGCTTTCTCTATTCCTCTATTTAAATCATCATTTTCATCTTTGAGACCTTCAATCTATTGAGCAATAATTTGATTTTATTGATAATACTTATTTATGATATTGCTAAAAAAGCATTTATTTGCTACAGTAATTACTGTTGTGACTCTAAATGAGTGAATTATTCAGAGTAATATTCATTTAAGGTTTCCTTGATATGAATATAAATTAATTCTTCCATTTTCAATTACTTTAACTACTTTTCTTTTTCTTGTAAATACTCCTGTTGTTATTATAGCTCTTCCTCTTATCCTCTTGCTTCTTTAATTCTTTTTAATTTTTATTATACTAACAATAATTCACATTATATAATTTAAGATAAAAAATATAAGATCAATATTTTCATTCTATTCAATTATAAATGGAATGTTCACATTCTTTATGATAGCTTACATATAAGTTTTTTATATATTTTTATTTTTATCTTGTTCTTTTCTATTAGACAATCATAGGATATTATTCAGGTCCAGTTAATTTAATTTATTTAGATTTACTTTTCTATGGATTCTTAAATCTGATATCTTTTCCAAAAGTGTTTATTAGATTAACAATTATGTTTCTATCAATTTTGTCTTTTCTTGTAATTTTGAGCTTTAGCAATTTCTTTAACTTTTTGAATAAAATCAGCTGGTTACATTTTTTAGAAATAGGCTAAATTAATAATTAAATAAACTCTAGGATTATAATTTTCTGGTTCTGAATTGATAACTACTAAATGAAACAATTTATAGAGGAACCACCCAGGGTTTGACAATATCATATTTATTTGGAGCAACTTATACCTTTCTTTTAAGTAGTCTACCTATTGTTTTGTTAGTTCATATCCTTTAATTCCAAAAGTATAAGTTTATTTGGTAGCAATTTTAAACATGTCTTAATAATAAATTCTAGAATGTTGATATAAGTTGTTACGAAGATTTAGTGCAACTGATTATACTCTTCTCATAATCTTAAAATTTACAATAAATTTTAAGATATGAATGAATATATTTAAGATTTCTATAGTCTTCGAGATTTGGAAACTTACCAATTTGCTTTAAATTAAATTAAATTGCTCAAATTAATTAAACACACAAAATTTGGTTAATTAAAGGAACAATAATTATAGAGATAGAATGTATTAAAAATTATCTAAATTTATTGCAAAGTTAATGTCTAAGGTATTGAAAATGTAAGGTGTAAGAAATGTAGTATTAAAATATTGTAATAAAAAATAATCCATTTTTGAGGTTTAAAAAACAAAAGTATAATTCAATAACATTTGAAAAATTAGATGATAAAAAATAGATTGATTATTAAGAAATAAAAATATAAGATAATTAAATAATATTAGAGTAATGTTAAAAGGAGAATTTATAAATAGTTGTAATTCAGTAAATGATGTAATATAAAGGTGGAAAATTATTAAATAAGAACCTTAAATAACTTTATGGATTGATTATAAGAACTTACGATTATAGCTTTAAGTTCAACTACTTTAAAATATTGATGATGATTAAATGAATTTTGATTTTTAACATAGAAACTAAGTTATTATTTAATTCATATCTCAATTCTATAACTAATGGCAAGTTAAATTAGGAACACTATTAAGCTTAAATGAATGTAGAGCAATAGCAAATAATGGAATACCTGTAAAGGGGGATTCTCATCTTTTACTAATAGGTGAATCTGATACAGGTAAATCTAGCATTATTAGAAATGCAAATATAATTAGTGAAAAAGGTCTAGGAACTACTTAAGCGGGTCTAACATAATCCTTTATTAAGGAAGGATCAGATTGGATCATTGAAGCTGGTTAATATTGTATAGGTGAATTTAATCTACTTAATTAATAATCATAATAAGCTTTAGAATTATAAACTATTAGTAGTAATAAAGCAGGAAGCTCCATGTAATTCTATTGAATAAATTTATAACAGTAAATTATCGATCTAATACATTACTGTTTGTTCATTCCTTTATTAAGTAGATTTGATCAAAGATTAATATGACTTTGATCTTGATAAAAATTGTGTTAACATATATTCAATCTTAATAATAATAAATCAAATTATATTTTTAAATTGTTGAAATAATATATTATTTATGTTAAGAACACATTTCAACCTATTATAAATGAAGATTGTTTTTATGAGTCATCTAAAATATATTTAACTTTAATTTGACAATCTACTTAATAATTTATCATGCAAGATTATATTCTAAAAGATATATTGATAAGTTTGATGATGTTATGGTTATTGCACTTATTGAAAGTGCTCAATTCACTGAGATCTATCCTGAATTTTAAGAAATGGGGAATCATTTACGCTTTTATGTATTTAAATCAAATATCAAGAAAGCATTCTTTACTATTTAAAAAATAACTCTATTTAATATTATTTTATAAAAAAGAGTATGAAATAACAACAAACTTATATCAATTATTGTATTTTAACCTTTAAATCTTTAAAATCATCAATATGAATCGAATATATATTATATTTGGCTATTCCAATTATCCCTAGCCCATCTAAATTAATAATTCATTTATTTAGCTCTTAGGATTTATAAGATGCAAAATTAATTTATTATTTTCCACAAAGTGCAGACATTGAAAAAAAATTATTTAAACATGTGTGGCAGAATATATCTTTGAATTTTTTATTTAATCCAATCCCTTTTGGCATAATCAGATAAAGAAAACATAAATGAATAATTCTAGTTTTACAATCCATTTTGAATAAGAAAGATCTTTTTCTATATATGACTCTAGCTCATTAAAAAATACCTAAAATTCAAACTATTACAGAAGATCATTGTTTTAGGAAATTCAATAAATTTCATTAAAGCTTATCAAAAAATCAAAATCTCTATACTAAAGTTGTTGAATACTTTGTTATAAATTTTGGTTATTTTGTGGATATGATCTAATCTATTTAGATAAATTTACAGTAGAGATGGAATTTATGTAATTCAAGACCTGGTCGAAAAATGAATTTATTTTATTTAAAAATTTTTTCATTGAAATACGCAAAGGTAGATGCTTCAATTTATATAAAGCTATAATAAATATTAAATTTAGGGAGATAATAAAAAGATTAGATTTCTTAGTATTTTATATTCTGGAAATTTTCTATTCTCAATTTTACCTCATCATAAAACAATTCTCTTTTAAGAACATTATTTTGAAGTGGATTGATCAGTCTAAGAAAGCAAAATTAATCTAACATTTCCACCTTATGAATAAAATCAATCAGCATATAGATTTTAATAATTTTAAAAAATATAACAAAGTGTTTACATTAATCACAAAAAAGAAAAATATAATATAAATATTTAGAAAAATAATTATTTATCATTATAATAACAAATCCATTACAAGATATTAAAAATGTACCAAGACTAGCCAACATCTTTTCCAAAAATAAAGGTAGATTAGTTTTTTAAGTTAGATTTTATTATTGATTAAACTTCCAAATAAGATTTTATTAAATTTATTTTTTTTAATGGAGTTAATTTAGCTTATAGAATTTTAAGATAACATTTCAAAATGTTTTGAGTAAAGTAATTAGTTTATGATCAATCGAATTATTATAATTAATACATAATAAAAATGTAATAATAATAAAATTATTTTACAACAGGGGTTTGGTTTTATGGAACAAAAGTAAATGAAAAAAAGGTTGTATATAAAATTTATTCTTGTTTTTTACATTAAACAATTTATTTTATATAATAAGGCCATCAATTCAAACTTTTTAACTTGAAGTTATGGCAAATAAATAATCTCTATAAGTTAATAAGGATTAAATTTAGAAAGCTGTAATTGGATCTGTAGGATTCAAAATTCCATAAAAAATTACAATTTTAATGGAATTTAGTATTTCTAAAACCTTTAACACAAATAATATTATATAAACATATAATTAAAAATGCAAAATGTTATTAAGTTACATTGAAGAAAAGAAATAAATATTATCACTAGCAAAAAAATAGATGAACTATTTTTAGACATTTATTTTATCAATTATAGGTTTATCTAAAAATGTGTGTAGAATGCAATTAAAAATAAAGAAAAAATAGTATTTCAAAATATAACAGATTAACCATGAGCTAAATTAAACTTTATATTAGAATAAAGAAAAGTCTTAGAAATAGAGTAGAAAGATATAAAAAATAAAATAAATTAATTTGTTATAGAACCCTCCTCTATAAAATGAACAATTAGGTTAAATTCATAGAAACACATCGCGAAAGATTGAATAACTTAGATAATAATTTAAGAATTAAAATTTAGTTGATAGTAATTAATAAAATGATAATGTTTTGGAGAGAATAGAGTAATTAAAAGAGTATAAAAATAATATAAAAAAGGAATAAATGTAAGCAAGAGAAGAATATGAGGAAAGTAGAAGAAAGGATCAAGTTTAAGTAAAGTATTGAATTTTTTCTAATAATTTCTATTTAATTTTTTTCAAATTGATTAAATATAAATAATTATGATATATAAATGAAAAGAATTGTAAAAAAAATAGAATAAGAAAAAAGAAAAAGATTAATTTATATAATAATAAATAGATAATTACATAAAAAAAAAGAATGTAAGAAGTTATATTAAATCACCAGAAGGCATAGAACTGATATAAATTTTATTTAATTAGCTGATATTATATAAATATTTTCAGATTAAACAGAAATTCCTAAAGAAGATTTAAATAATAAATTAGATGTTAAACTTCCTAAGAGGTAGAGAAATTTTATAAATCTATCATTAAAGGTTAAATTCAAGAATAAGAGGAAGAAGCATTTGCTAAAATTTATCATTTTAATATGCTTAATAAAAAAAAACCTAAAATACATTCAAGTTCACTTATAAAATTAATGTTCCTAGAACTTAAATTTCATGAAAAAAGAAAACTATTAGATAATAAAGATTAGAATTAATGGTTTAAGAAATTTAAGAAAAAGAAGATTTTTGAATTTCAAAATAAATTTAAGGCTAATCCTATTCCATTTTTTATGTTTGTTCCAGCTCATAATTTAGATATTTTTTCTCCTTCAAGAATATATAATGTTAATCCTTCTAGTTTTTATTAGAAAGATATTTAAAAGATTTATGGAAAGAAAACAAATTGAAAGAAAAAAATGGAGGAATTAAATCCTTAAGATATAGATCCAGAATGTAAATTTAATCCTAAAATTAATAAAAATGTGTCTCCAAAAGATAAAGATAATCATTTTAATGAAGCAAAGGAATGGAATTAAATTACCTTGATGAAGATAATCAAAGAAATAAAAGAAAATAGTTATTTCATGAAATGAAAATTAAAAAAATGAAATATAAAAATCACAAATGTTAAAAAGTTAAATATCTAAATCTTAATCTTAAAAATAATCTGTTTAAAAATCCTAATAAACTTCTGTAAAATTATCAAAAAAATAACAAAAATAAAATATTCATTCTGATGGTGGGGGATTTCATTGAACTTGGCCCTAAGATAAATAAGATTAATATGAAAAAAATCAATTTTTCATAATAAGCAACCCAGATGAGGAAGAACAAGAAGCTATAAAATAAAATAAATGATTAATAAGATAACAAAAATATTGAATAAAAAAACAGAATAAAAAATATCTATCCAATAATCAAATAATCTGAATTTAAAAAAAAGGTTAAATTAGTTCCACCACAACTATAACCTGTTTTATACAATGAAGAAACAAAATATAAAAAGAAAATTATAATTAGCCAAGATAGAGAGCTATAAAGATTAGAAGAAGAGAAATACAAAAACACTCGACGATATAAAGAATTTAAGGATAGTTTAAATCCTGAAGAGGAATAAAAATTTTAAATATGGGAAATAGAGTTTATTTAAGTATTGATTTTAAATAACATGGATCATCAACTTTATATAAATATCTGTTCAATGGCTAAGTAAGGTTGCATAATTTTTAATCAAAAATATTCAAAGAGCTCATATTGGAATTAAATAGAATCAACCGAAAGTTTATTGTCTAAAATGTAAATTTCGCATTTTTTTTCTTTTAATTAAAAATTAAATAAAATTTTAATTTTAATTAACATCTTGTTTTTAATCAAATATTAATTTAGGATTTATTTTTCCCTGAATACTTTTAACTATTTTTTTTTTGCGTTTGGAAATATTCATATATAAGTGGATTTTACTGGAACTCTACAAAGATTATAATTGTTCAGAATGATTTCTAAATTGATAATAATGACTTAAAAAAAAAAAGAATAATTTACAAATTATAATATCAAAATCATCATTATTTATTGAGTTGATGAAATGAAGATTAGACTGATGGTAATCTTTATGACATAAACTAGAATTTAGCTTAAGAAATTAAGTTATATATAATAGATTGGATTAAAAATTATCTTTTTTATTATTAGTTTATAGAATGAGATGAGTTATTGTTAGATCAGCTTTGTCTCTTTGAGTGAATTCAAAATAAATAGGAATAAATAAATTTTATTGCAGTTATAATAATAATTTGGTTATTGATGCTGGATATGGTTTCTAAAAAAGAACGAATGTCTCTTTAAAATAATTAGCTAAAACTGATTAGAAAACGCGCACTTATTTTAGATATCAAGATAGGAAGATTTGAATTATTTTTGGATTATCTTATTTGTGAGTGATTAAGTATTATGTATTAAAATATTTTAATTTATAAAAATTATTAATTATTAAATCAAAATCTATTCAAAGTTTCATTTATTTTTTTTCACATAATTAAATCTATAATATATTTATTTATTATTATTTAAAAACTCCAAAAAAATATGAAAAAATGGTTGATAACAGTTTTATGGAATGAGAGCATAAACAATAAATGTTATTTTCGTATTATATCAATAAAAATATAAATATTTTCTGAATTAGAAATTAAACAATAGATAGGAAGATCCTGCTCATATTATATTTTTGGAAAATAATAATTATTAAGAATGATAAGTTTTTTATAATTTGACAAAAATTAATTAGATTTCATACTATCAATTTTCTCATTTAAATCCTTAGATAGATTCGTAATTATACACAAGGAAAATTTAAATGATTCTATTGTAACTTGCGTAGAGGATATATTAAATTGATTTTAATCTTTATTAAAATGAATTAGTAAATCAACTTTTAATGATACATAAACCTGTTTATAGCAATCTTCAATTTTAATGTTTATTGAATGAATACCAATTCTTTTATACAAATTAATTTTCATTAAAAAATAATTTTATAAACTTTTCTTAAATGCTCATAGAAAAGTCAAACTTTGGGAAATAAAAATTAAAAATCTTAACAATAATTAATTAAATTTTAATATCATTAATTGATTTTCTGAGTTAATAAAAACATTTGCATTTTAAAAAAGTTTAAATTTAATTTACTAATAATTTATAAATTTAATTTTTTTATTAGTTTTTGTACATTAATATATTTTGTATATGAAAATGATAATAAAAAACAGATATAGTGGAGCTACAGGAAGTATGTTAGTTATATGTAAGATGGGCTAATTAAGATTATATGATGGTCCAATAAAACTGTATAAGGAATATTGGAAATTTATGTTTTGGTTTGGAATTTATTATAATGTATTTCCAATATTTCTAACATTCAAAAATGAGAGAGAAGTAAGATAATAAATGAAATTAGATGATAATAGTTTTAGGAAGATCGGTAATAATAGATAGGGATGATGATAATTGTTGTTTGAAATAGTTAATTAGTAGATAATTTGGATCATTATTTCTTATTGCTATATTTAGATTGGCTTTTATTGGCATTTTATTAAGATTTGAATGGCTATTAAATTTCTTTGAATATTTGATGATATAGGTATAGTCATTCTAAATGTTTTAGTATATTTAGTGATGAGAATAAAAGAATATTAAAAGTCTGTCACACTGAAATAACGTTCAAACTAGATATAATAATATTTGGTGGAAAGGAAGCAAGAGGTTGTGCAGTGATATTCATGTATTGAATTTAGAAAGGTTTTATTAATACATCCTTTATAATATTAGTTGGGCCTCTTAAATTAAAACAAGCAAATAAATTCTTGATGTAAGAATGAGGCACAGTGCACAAAATTATAAAGATAAGATTATTAGGGGAATAGTTAGACTGAATTAGACGATGTTACACTAATCTCTTAAATTATTAGAGAAAAAAACAATCTATAAATAATGAATTTTTTTATTGTCTTGTATAGGTAAGAATTAAAATAAATGAATACTCCTCTAAAACATTTTTTTGGATATTATTTATGTATATATTTCGAGGAAGAGATGAAAAAATGTGGTTAATTGATATTTACAAACTTAAGTGTTATTGGGCAAAAGGTTGAAACTACGAGTAGAAACTTTAAGAAAACTTACAACATAGTTCAGAGTACAAAGTTTATATTTTGGATGGTGAACCTGATCATCGATCTCATTCATTAAATAATTTATATGATTGTATATTGAAAGTAATAACACCAAAAGGAAGCATAATAACTCCAAGAGTTAGTGATTCAGATGTAATGATCAATAATAAAATCTATTATTTTGTAGGATATGATAGATAAAAATGGAGAATTGATGTTTTCATAGCTAATATAATTGAAAATTATTTTTGAAAATATATTATGATCAACAATTAAGATAATTAATAATTTTTTCATTTGCAAGTGAATAATTTATAATAGGTGATAAATTATCCATTACTGATACAACAATTAAATTTTCAAGGTTATTTTTATTCAAAATTAATTACTTGATAAAGTCCTTCTGTTTTGATTTATTAGCATAAGCAGAAAAATATATATTTATTAAAACTTAAATCATTTAGTATATATTCAATCATTAATTATTTAAATTTAAAATATTTCACTTAAAAATTTGATTGATGTTGTCAACTTGATAGATAAATTTTCTACCCATCAATTAAAAGCAAAACTAATAAATTTACTATAGAAAAATTCTCAATAATCAAGATTATCAAAAGAGTTATTAATAATTTTGAAAATTTACTAAATATATATATTATAATCATATATGAATATAGCCAAAAATTATTATTTATGGGATGAATAACTATTCGATTTTTTATTTAGCAACTATCAAAAATGTGCTTATTATTTAATAGAGAATAACCATAACTAACAAAAATATATTATTACCCTCATTAATTAATATTTATTATTTCTACTGATGATAATAATAATTGAAAATTAATTAAATAATTTACTTTAGGTCTAATTATTTAGGCTTTTGATTAATTCTTATATTACTTATATTAAAAGATCATTTATACTTTCTATTTTAGATATTGAAATATAAATATCTTAAAAGTTAACTTAAGTAAAAATGATGAATAATAAATAAAAATAGCTCATATTGATAAAAATTATTATTTTTTAGTTTCCCTTATTGATTGATATTATCTATATAAATTAAATTTATATTTGACTGGTTTTTTGTTCTAGCAATAAAGGCCTCAAAAATCAATAATCAATAAAATTCAATAACCAATTATGATTACATGGTTGATCTTCGCTATAATTAAAATCAATTAATTATACTATGAACAGGCTGGCCCATTGTATAGTTTGTTTACATAAACTATACTCTTATTATCACCTAAAAATGTTATTCATTTTGAAGCTATTGTGCCATAAGATTATCTATTAGAAGTGTATTTTCAATTGGTTTATTTAAATTCAGAAGAATAATTTAAGATACATAAATATAGTTTGAAAAAGTAGGGTAAGTAAGATAAAATTTACAATTTATCCTTCTAATTAATAGGTACATATGTATATATTTAATCTGCCTTAAACAATTTATCTCGTATAATTTAATTTTAAAATTATTCTAAATTAATATAATACACTCAATAGAAAACTCATTTGTAGATTTATCTATTGATTAAATTATTTTTTAAGATTTAAATAATTTGTATAATTTTGATTGCATTTAATAAATGTAATTCACAAATTTCTAATGCTTTCTAAATAATTATGCTCTACTCTTGTTGATGTTTTAGCTTATTGGTTCAGCTTCTTCAAATTGAAACCTTTTAAAAAAACTAATACTATACTTATTTAGGAGGGGTACTATTTGAAAACATTGAACTAATAAAAATATTGTATAAATAGAATATATAAAAAAATAAATGTGCACCTATTTATGAGCATGAGTATGAAAAATTCAAAAAAAAAAGAAGAAAAAATTATCATATAGTTTTTTTTTTACATTTTAGCTTATAAATGAATGATTTAGAAGTGAGAATTGCCCAACCAAAAGATAGACTACGAAAAAAGTAGAAGAGAAACTATTTGAATGCATTATTTTCATTTATAATTGAGGAAATATGTATGTGACTGTATTTTTTTGCCACAAAATTTGATCAATCTCAGGAACAAATATTCACCTTACTTTCTTATGTTGGTTCAGTAATTGACTCTATTGTAAGTTTTCTTCTATATAAAATTTTATTATTTATTTAAAGGAATATGTATTTGGGTTAATCTAAAAACAAAAATTTTTTTTGAAATGAATTTAGGTTCAATTGGCAATTAAGAATTTTAAGAAAATAGTGAAATGAGATACTTTAAGAGAATGTGCAATAGTACTCTATAATTAATGGTATGAGGAGACTAAAAAAATTATGAACAAAGATTATCTTAACATAGGTACATTAATAAAGAGGCTTTATAGAAATAAATTTAATGATGCTTGGAATGATATCATCATGCCTGATTTGAAGAAAGAAAAACAAAAGAATTGGTTCTTATTATTCTAAATATTTATGATGAGAAATAATACACAATTTAAGAAATTGAATAAATTGTATAAGACAAATTGAATTTATAATTAGAATTCTAATACTAACTATCAGATTAAGCAAGTAGACAATTGATTTTACTACTGAAGCCTTAGGTATTGTGAAAATAAAAATAATATTTAGAATAAATGATTCCTCCTTACAAGAAACAATTATAGATATAGAAATGACAATATATAAAAATATATACAATGTATTTGTGTTTTTTTCAAGTTAATTCTTCTAATAATGCATTTTTATTTATTGTATTCAATGCTGTAGATCATTTCATTGTAAGTATTTTTCTGAACTTAAATAGAAAAACTAAAAATAGCAATAAAGTAATGATCTGTAATTTGTATACTTAACAAAAGGAAGAAATTAAGGCTAAAATGATATTCAAAATTTCAATTATGGGTTAATTTGAAATCACTGCTAGAATTAAAAGAATCTTGTAAAGAAAAATGAAAGCATGCCGAATGATATTTTTCTAATTCTATAGGATTGGTTAAAATATTGTGAGAAAAGGTTTATCTCTAATTTTACAAAAGATTCATTAATTCCAGATTCCTTGTACAATGGAGATAGAAGAAACAACTTGGTCTATCATAACAAATCGATTTGCCCAATAAATTAGGATGATCCTATTGAACTCTAATTTCTTCAAAGGTTTAAATTTTTATTTTATGTTAGAGATAAAAAGCAAATAAATTTATCCAGAAATTAACTAAATATAGAAAAAAATGAATCAAATATTGAACAATGAGGGATTCTTCGAAAACATAAATATGTGTTTTTCAAATTAATTGAAAATCTGCACTTTCATGCTCTTAGAACATGTTAACAATTGACACATAATTAACCTAAATTTGCTTTTTTTTGGATATCTTGTTTCGAGGCATATCTGTAAAATAATTCATTGAAATATTTGTGATATATTTATTTAAAAATGAATATTGAACCTTATTTTGAAACTATGGAAGTTTCACTGGATTAGTGTATGAATAGAGATATATAGAATATGATACTATCAATAATATGTTGTTGTTCAATTTCAAAAATTGTAGACAAATGCTTAGAATTTAAAATTAGATTTTTTAAAACTTATTATGCTTCGTTATTATATTATAAATTTATCCAATATTTAATACAATTTTTTTTTTATTACAAAACTTTCATTCTATTTTAATTATTATTATTTAACAAATTTTTCAATTAAATTATATTCTTATTATGAATCCTTCATAGTTAAATATTTTTAATAATATTATGGATCAAGACTCTCATCTAATAAATTATGTAAACATATCCATTTTAATTTAAATATTGATTATTCTTCTTTTGGAATAACTTATTTATATTCTTGATTCACTATCTTTTATAAAATAGATTCTATTATTTATTATTCATTTATTCTCTATAAATTATAAATATATATCTTAATTTAAGCACATTTCTTTCACAACTCACTTTAAGAAATCAATTCAATTGAATTATATAAATTATTAATCATTTCCTAAATCTTTTAACCAAAATTATCTCTTTTAAAATTCTTAGAATTTTGAATTATTTCAAAAAGTAAAAATCCTCTTTCAAAATCATTATTATTATATATTTCATTAAATACTTAAATTATATATTAATTAACAATTTAATAAGCAGGACTCTCTTCTTTAATTTTTAGTAATTATTAAATAATATTAAAAAATACTTAGTAATCATCTAATTATAGAGTTTTTAATTCATTCATCATAGCATTAATGATTTCATTTAAAAATTCTTATTATTCTTCTTTTACTTTCCAAATATTTAAAAACTATAAAAAACTAAATGGCACTTATTTATATGGATTATGATTATAAGCCTAAACACATTATTAAGATAAAATATTTTATAACACTGATTTTATAGATTAAACTATAATATTTTTAACTTATCCTAAGCATTAATTATATTAAATCAAAGGAGGTATCATTCTCTTACAAATTAAAAAATAAAGTGTTTCAAAATAACTATTAATTAAATTTCTGAAAAAAATCTACTTTCTTCATGAGTAATACCTTATAAAATAGAATTTAATAACTTTTTAATAGATGCCAACTTTTATCTAAAAACTTCCTCTTTTTTAATATCAATAACACTATAAATAGGATTAAGTGATACAAATACAACTAATCAATCATACAATAATTTTCCAACACCAAAACCAGCTTTAGATATTAATTCTAATGAATTATTTTATAGACCTTAAAGTTTTATGATTTAATCCTATTAAACTTTTTAAAACAATTTCGTTACAAATCCTTTCCATAATGCACTTATGATTAAACGATCTTTTTATTCAAATAATTTAACTGTTTTTTTAAGTAATTGATCACTTTTATGAAGAACAAATGGAGTCGAAAAATTATTAGACAATAAATAATGAAGTGCTTCAATAATAGTTGCTACTATTCTTGTTTTTTAAGTATTAAGTAATCCTACTATGATAGTTGTTTTATTTGTAAAATCAAGTAGTTTCATAATTTATTCAATAAAATCATTGTCAGGATTCCATTATATAGCAGTTTTAATTGAATTAATTGCTGATACTTTTAACCTCTCATAAATATGATCAACTTTTTCATCTTCTAAATTTGATTCTTATTTGATATAGCTATAGATAGGGATAGGTATAACTTTAAATCAACTATATATTAATCACTTCACATTTTAATAGCTTATGTTTATTTTTCTTTAGTCGAAAATGCTATTTGAAAAGCATTCATAGCAGCTGTTGAAATCTAATTAATGAATGAATTATACTTCAGAATTATAATCATTTATCATAATAAACCATTATGGAAATAATTATTTGAATTTCTTGGATAAGGACTCGTTCCATATTCACATATTAAAGATAAAACTTGATTGGACAATTCTAATACTCTTCTTTCATATTCATTATCAACATATCTTCTATATATATTAACAAATGTACTATGAACAACCTTTGGATTTCTGGATCTGACCTTTTAAATATTGATTAGCTAATTAGCTGAATAAATTTGTGGTTTGATTGATCATTAATTAATTATTAAAAAAATTTTTATTTATACAAATTTAAATAAAATAATTTCTATTAAAAAAATAACATAATTATTAATATTTCTATTATTCAAATTCAAGATAAAAATATTTATATCTTCAAAATGAATAATGATAATAAAATTTAATTATAAATTCTTCAATAAATTAATTTATATTATAAATCTCTATCAAAAAATACTCATTATTATTAGATATAAATTGTGAAATTAATCATAGTAAAAAAGTTTTATATTTAAGTATATCTCTCTTTAATTTTTGATTTTATTGAATTTAAATATCCATTTATTTATATATTATTAAATATATTATAAGAATTAAATAATTAGAATCAATATATTTATTAAGTAAATTCAATCAATTAAATCTTCTATTTAGCTTAAATAAAAATTAGCAATTTTTTTATCAATATTCATTTTAATTTATAATAATACATTAATTCTTTTTTTTATTTTTGTAATATATATAAAATGTTTATGAAAATTATTGAAGTAATTCTTTATATTAATTTCATTCTTTGATTATATAATTTCAATTGTTAATATATATATAAACATTAAATATATTTTTCAATAAAATGCATATATGATGATGATTAATATAAAATAGATTAATTCAATCTTCAGAATATATATATAATTTCATATCCAATTATTTATATCATAAAAATAGTCATCTAAAATTTATGAGTAATATGTATATTAAATTTAATTAAAATTAATGGGTAACGAATAAATTAAACCAAGCATTGCTCATTCAACTGAATGGACATTTATCAGAGAAATCAAATAAAATCCTTTATTTGGACATATTAAGGTATACAAAGGACCTTCCGATTAATTATAATTATTAAAAACTGTTATTGTTGAAGAATCATAATATAAAGATCAAATGGATTCCCTCAAAAAAATCATTGTTAAGGATGTCTTATCATAAAATTAACCAAATTGTTCTTCTTTAGTTTGTGTCAATCGTTAAGAAACATAAAAAAACAAGAAGAGTTCGGTTCTAATTATGTGAAAATTTATTTAACAGCCGATTATTCAGATTAATCAATTCAATAAATTAAAGATGTTAAATTATTTATGTTAGATATAATATAAGCTTTATAAGTAATTGGATTAGAAAGGTGTAAATAATTGTCAATTTTGTTCTTCAAAAATACCTTAATTTGAAGATAGAGTTAAAGTTGTTAATACATAATTATTTACAGAAATTTCAGATTATGAATAACTTTATTTTAATGAAGTTTCTAAAGAGGATTGGATGATTGCACCTGAAGTAATGCATTCTTTAAAAATTAATTGTCCACCTACATTTAAGAGTGAATAGGCTGTTATTTTTAATTTTGGAATCATAATAACTGGAGTACATCCAAAAGATGCATAAATCTATGATTATAAAAATTTAACACTTAATGATAATTTATCATCTTACATTCATTCAATTGATTAATTACAAATACCAAGTAAATATATTAATATATTATTTTAGATCATATTAAACAATTAATCTAAGATTATATTAACGTTAAAGCCACTCTAAGACCTACTTTTAAATTAATAATTAATTTATTATGATTACTCAATCAAATATTAAGAAATCAAAGGAAGTTTAGCACTTTTATTATAATAAAATAATTAACTTAAGTAATAACTCAGAGAAGCTTCTGAAGAAGTTTAAGAAAAATAATTGTTAAAAGAAGAATGGGCATAGGAAGTCTAAAAAGTTTAAGAAACTATTTATTAATTGTCTTATGATAATTAGATAGAGTATTTTTAATTAGTATAAAATTATCTAGCAACATCTGTTTGTAATTATGCTACATAAGGAATCATATAATCTTTAACATCTTAAATTATCAATTTAGGCCTTTTAAAATTATAAAATGATTAATAATTTGGGCAATCCAAATTAAATAAGCAATTAAATATAAATCTTAAGCCATAAAACTTTAACCTAAATTCGAAAATTTGAAGTTACATAGAATTTACTACTTAACCTAATGAAGAGTATGTTCTATCTGCAATTAAAAATGCTAAATTAGTTTTATAAGCTATTTCTGTTGCTATCATTCCTCCCAAAGAGATACCATGTATACCTAGAGCCTTTATTTAAAATTTATTTTAGAATTATTTAGTAACATATACACCACATTCTATTAAATTATTTGGAGTCAGTGTTCCAGTACTACAACCATATTTACAATATTTCCATAAAATTACATTAATATTTAACATTTTATAAACTTCATTACAATTAGCCTAAATTTATTAATATTAATTTACATGTTCATTTGAATATTCATAATATCCTGCATTTGGATTACAAAATAAAACTGTAAGACCATTTGATTTATTACTTATTATATGTAAACAATCTATTTTATTATTTTTATATTCGGTTATATGTCTAGAAGCATTTGGATTTGTACATTCTAACATGATACTCTAAAGTTCCAAATAATATTGATAATTTAAAAGGTTTAATAATAAAGCAAATTTCATCTGATTTATCTATATAATTATTAAGAAATTTTTAAACTTTAATTGATTCATCTTGAATTTACTTATAATTTTGTATGATTAAAAAAGTTCAATAAAATCTGATATTAATTTTACATAGTTTTTTTAGGTTTAATTTAATTATCCCTCTATCTTTGAGAATATTTTTTTTTAGACAATTAAAAAATTTTAAGCTTTAAACAATTTATTTTTTGAAGTATTTTCATCAATATATCTTAAAACTCTAAACAGATAGAAATTTTACACTTATTCATGGAGCTATTAGATCAAAATAATAATCATTAAGAGAAGCTGCTCTAGATTTATTTAGTGAAATTTTAAAAGAAATTGCCTAAAGAGAATGTATTTATTTAATTATTAAATATAGAATCATATTAAGATTATTTAGTTAAAATATATATTGATGAAATAGAATCAAAAAAAAAATCAAAAGAGGAAGAATATATTCATGGAAATATTATGATGATTAAAATTCTTCTAACATATGCTAAATAAGATGTAACATATAATCATTAATAAAAATAGATATTTTCATAAAATTAAATTTACGATTAAGGAGAATATGTGCTATCTAAAAAAGATCACAAATCATCTATTATTAATAAGGCTGTAATTGAGACTTTACCGATATTAGCAAAACATGCTAAGCATAATGCAGTCTAAGAATTTATGGAATAAAGCATATCTTTTCTATTATCATAAACTAAGTAAGCTAGGTCTGTGAAGGATAAAAGTCTACCCTATATGACTTTGGCAATGCTTATTTTATTTTTAAATGAAAATATGTTACAAGACCTAATTAGAAAAGTTATTTTACATATTTGAAAAGAATTATTACAAAAGAATTTTTGTGTTGAAATGATCCACGGTTTATAAGTCGTATTTTAGAATTATACAAGAAAATTTGCAGAATTCACATCAGTTGATGTTTTAGTAGATGTATGAATATTTCATATTCATTTAAGGAAATACTCTAAATGGTTTGCATCCTTAATCAGTTTAGTTTCTAAATTAATTATGCAGATCATAACCCAGATAATCGGATTACATTTAATAAAAACTATTATAAACTATTGCAGCAATCCTACTTAGAAAAATTATTAATTTTGTCAATCCTAAATAATAAAATTTTGATAGCAGTGTCTTAAACGATTTTTAAGGATACTTGCAAAAAGCCATTACTACAACAGAATTTAGATCTCCTGAAGCTATTGCTAATGCAATTTAAACACTTAGCACTTTCTCATTTGATTTATAAGATAGTCTTGCAATCTTTGTAAAAGATGCTGTTCTACCTAATCTTGCTAATTCTAATCCAATTATAAGAAAGGCTACTGCAAAAGCTGGATGTCTATTATATATTAAGAAAGGAAGATCAACTGGATAATAGATGATATCCAAAAATGTTATGTATGAAATATTAGATAAATTTATGAATTTTGCTATTTCAGATACTGAATAAGATATAAGGTAAACTATGCTTGCATCTTTAAATGAGAATTTCGATCCATATTTAAATTCTCCTAATAATTTGAGAAAATTATTTTTATATGTATGAATGACACAATCCCAGAAGTATAAGAAATTGCATTAACCATACTTTGTAGATTATCAATTTTAAATCCTTCAGAAATTATTCCCTTTCTTAAAAAGACTTTATTCGAATACCTTTAAACTTTAACATTTGACAGCAATTAACCTGAAAAGTAAACCATTAATAAGTTATATTTATTAACATCATTAATTAAAAATAGTCGTACTATTGTCTAAACATATACTAGTAATATAGCTAAGGTAATTTAATAACATTTAAAAAATCCAAATACTAGTGCGAGTGTTACTTCATATTTATTATAAGCATTTGCTTAATTAACAGAAACTGCAAATTAAGAAATATTAGTAAATTTAAAAGAGGTTTTTGATATTATTATAACAGCAATGTAAGATAAGAGTTCTACTCTTAAAAGAGAAGCTGCTTGTAAAGTCTTTAAATTTAATTATTAAGAATACAGGATTTGTTGTACTTCCTTATTATCGTTTTCCAAATTTAATGGATGTTATTTTCTAATTAATTAGAACTGAAACTATACCAGAAATGAGATAGGAATGTTTAAAATTATTAGGTAATTTAGGAGCTGTAGATTCGTTTATATATAAAAGTGTTTAAGGAGTACCAACAAAATAAAAGTTTAAGTTTTTAAAAAATTATTAAAATGCTGTAAATTCTGTTTCATCAAGTGAATTAATGAATGAAGTAAGAGGATATAGTGAAGATTTAATATTAATTGATAATTTTAGTTCAACAATGTTTTTACATTTAGGAAAATTGAAAATGTAAACTGATTAAGATACATTACTATATTAAAATAATGCTGCATTAATAACTAAATCAACAACATTGGATGCTCAATCTCATTATCATTAAGTCATAAATTCATAAGATATTGAAGAATTATTTTATTATGTTCCTGTCAAATGATATTGATTATTATTCAAAAGTAACTCTAAAGACATTATTACAAAATCTATTAGATCCATCTTTATCTAATAATCATGAATTAGCACTTGAAACTATAATGTGGATAATTGGTACACTTAAAGCAAAAACAGCAAGTTATTGAAATTATTTAATACTTGTGTTTGCTCGTTTATTACAAAGGAATGAAGAAACGAGAGAGAAAGTATTAACCTCTTTGTAAAAAGTCATACATTTATGTGGAATTTAATTTAATCCCTAATATATTGATTAAGTGATTGCTTGTGTAATGTTATTTTGTTAGGGATAAGAATCATCAAAATTAGTTTTAATTGGTTTAGAAATAATGGAAACATTGATAAAAAGTAGTAAATAGCATTTAAGACATAAAGTTGAACCATTAGTTAGATTAATAAATTAAGAAATCAGTTAATTTGAGAAGAAAAAGAATTAGTGTAAAGGAATAAAGATATATATATTATTAGAGAATTTACTTGATTCTCAATTACATATGTTTATTCCATTTATGTGTAAATTATTGAGTAAAGAAGTTTCAAGTGTCTTATTAGAAGTGAGAAAAGATATAATAAATTTATTTGTGTCTTTATCTAGAAAATGCCCAACAACAGTTTAATATTTATCATTAATTGTTAATTCATTATTAAACTTAGTTGAATTGAGTGCTAAAACATAATAATAATTAGAAATGCATCAAACAGCATTAAATTGTCTTGTAAATTTAATCTTACAACATAAGAATCTTATGCTTGTTTATTTACCTATGATTCATTTATAAGTACAAAAATATAAGATACATCACTAATAATATTAAAAATTAATTGAAATATTTTTGATGTACGGTAATTTAGAAGATTTGAATAATCTATTAGATGAAGATTATAAAGCTATTGAGTAATTATTTCATCTAGATTGCTTCATATTATTCAATTGAACCTAATGCACCAATGTATAAAAAGATAGAGTCTGATGATTTAGTGGCTAAATTTGATACTGAACAAAGAAAGTTAAAAGAAGAATGGTAAGAATGGATGCGTAATACAAGTGTAGAATTATTAAAGTTATCTCCTTTTCTTGTTTTGAGTCCATGTTCATCAATAGCTGAAATGTATTAGACATTGGCATATGAATTATTTAATATCGCATTCGATTCAGCATGGTATTTCCTAAATGATAAACATAAAGAATTAATGGTTCAACATTTAGTGAGGGTTATTAATCAGAAAATATACCTCTTTAGATTTCATAAACCATTTTAAATTTAGCAGAATTTATGTAACATGATAAGGAAGGATTACAAATTGATATTAGTTCTTTGGGAGAATAAGCTGAAAAATGTATGGCTTATGCTAAAGCTCTTTGTTATAGAGAACATGAATTTAAGACTGCCAATTTAAAAGCAATTTAATCATTAATATCTCTGTATACAAATTTGGGATTGCAAGAATCAGTAATGGTTTATTAACTTATGCTAAATAATCTTTAAAAATTTAAGTCTAAAATACAGATTATGAGAGATTAAAAAAATGGGATGAAGCCTTATAAGAATATAGATAATAATAATTAAAATAAGAAAATGATTAAAAAATGGATTTAGCGATAAAATTAGTTGTTCCCAAAATGAGATGTTTAAATGCATTAATGTAATGGTAAACACTGATTAGTCAAGCTGAGGAAATATTTAGAAGTAATGAAGATGCAAAATAAAAGGAAATTGTTCATTTAGCTGCAAATGTTGCGATGCATTTAGGATAATGGGATAAATTGGCCACATATAATGAATGAGTCAATGCTGAAGAATCAGATAAACCATTTTGGAAAGCAGCTGTATGTATATCTAAAAGATAACTGGATGAAGCAAAAATATAAGTAAGGAAAAGTAGAGAGAGATTGGATGGTTTAGTAACAGGATTATTATAGGAATCATATGATAGAGATGGAGTATTAAAATTGTAATAGTTAGTTGAAATGGAGGAGATTATAGAAATCAAATAATTTGAAAATAAAGTATAAAAAGCAGCCTAAGAGAATGTAGGTGAATATTCTTATATTAAATTATTGGATGAATTAGAAATTCGTAAGAAAAAATTAAAAAATATATGGCATGATAGTTTAAGCGGTGCACCTAAGGATATAGATGTTTGGTATCGTTTACTTTTAACAAGATAATTATATTTACCTAAAATACATGATCTTGACATTTGGATTAAATTTGCTAAATTGTGTTTAAAGAGATAAAAAATGGTTCTTTGCAAATCTACTATTGAAATATTAAAGGAATAGTTTCAGAATTAAGGTTAAGCTCCTTTACCTGTAACTCTTCACATTTTCAATATGTAATTTGAATATTCACATGCTAAACATGAAATCCAAATTTTAGATTAGGTTCGTAAATATTTCACAAATTAGGAACAAATCAGTTCAATTGATTCTAAATTAAAAGCAAAGACTTTTTTTACTTTAGGAAAATGGGCTTATGAAAGAGCAGAATCTACAAGTGATTTAGAATAGATAACTAAATAATTTGATGAATCTTTATAATATAATTCAACTTATGCAAAAGCATGCCATTATTATGGTTGATGTAATTTTAAAGTTAGCAAGAATCCAAAATTAAAATCCGATAATTTAATAATTATTATAAGATTTATTAATACATATCAGTCGTATACATCTATAAGCTCTTATTTATCCATTAACTGTTGCTTGTAAATCAAAAGATTATAAGTTTTAAAGATATTAGATGATATGAAAAAACATTCTCCAATTCTGGTTAATGAAGCCTTAATAATTAGCGAAGAACTAAATCGTACTGCTATATTATGAAAAGAAGCATGGAGAGAAGGTATTTAAGAAGCATGGACATCTTTTTCATAAGATAAAAATAAAACCCATGTAGAGAGAATTCTAAGAGGTTTAGATGATAATATGAGAGTTAAACTTGAAAGTTTAAGTCAAATCTCATTTCGTTAAACATATGGATAACAAATATTTGAAGCCGAAGCTTGGTTACAAAGATATTTGAGAACAGAAGATTAAGTTTGTTTGTGTGTTGCATTTGATATCTATACAAGGATTTATCATAAAGTTTAGAAAAAATGAAGAAAGATCATCTTAAAAATGTATCACCAAAATTGTTAGCCACTCAAAATTGTGAAATAAGCATTTCTGGATTATATAAACCTAATAAATAATTAATTACAATCAATGGTTTTGCACCAAGATTAGATGTTTTATCAAGTAAATAACACCCAAGATAAGTTAAGATGTTTGGAAATGATTCAAAAGAGTATCATTTCTTATTAAAAGGACATGAAGATTTAAGATAAGATGAAAGAGTGATGCAATTATTTTCTCTAGTAAATCGTTTACTTACTAATGATACAGATCTTACTATTACAAGATATTTAGTCATACCTTTATCTTATAATACTGGATTATTAGGATGGGTATAAAATTGTGATATTTTTTAATAATTAGTTAGAAAGTATAGAGATAAATATGTTATCAGACCTAATGCAGAAAGCACTTTAATGGAATAATTCTGTGCTCAGTATCAGAACTTACCTTTGCCTAACAAAGTTGAGATTTTTAGACATATATTAGAAAATACAAGAGGAGAAGATTTATAAAAAGAATTGTGGATAAAATCGTCAAATTCAGAAGTTTGGCTTGAAAGAAGAATTAATTATACAAGATCTTGGCTACAATGTCAATGGTTGGATATATATTAGGATTAGGTGATAGGCATCCATCGAATTTTATGTTATAAAGACTAGACTTACTGGTAAACTTGTACATATTGATTTTGGAGATCGTTTTGGTAATACATCTTAATTTTATTATTTTTAATAGAGGTTTCATTGAAAAGAGAGAAATATCCAGAGACAATACCATTTAGACTTACAAGAATGTTGGTAAACGCTATGGAAGCTTGTGGTATAGAAGGAGTTTATAGACATATTTGCAATGTTGTTATGAGAGTATTAAGGGAAAATAAAGAGTATTATTAATTATATAGTTTAGATCTCTATTGGCTGTATTGGATTCATTTGTATATGATCCATTGCTTACTTGGAGACTTTTGCATGCATAAGATCATAAACCTAAAAAAGAGGCTAGAAATGTAGATTTACACAAACAAATCTCATAATAAATGATCAATTAACTTAATGATAAAGATATGAATTAGGGAAAGAGTTTAATTTAGGCTATTCCTGAAGTAAAAAGAAGGGGTAGTATAATTGATGATGGAAAACAACAATAAACTTTAAAAAGAAAGGAAAGTGGCAGAGAAAAGGAAATATATTTTGAATTTGTTGATGAAGAGAGAGAAATACCAGATGATTCATAAATTAGAAAGGTTTAGAAGTTATTGAAAGAATTAAAAAAAAATTATAAGGAAGAGATTTTAAAGAACATGAAGTGTTGTCAACCGAGAATCAGGTCAATCAATTCATACTTTAAGCAACTAATCATGAAAATATAGCTTAAGCTTATTTGGGATGGAGTCCATTTTGGTGATTTATTATAATCCATTCCAATATTAGCAATTATTATATTGTTTTCTTTTTAATTTTATTACTAAAACCTTTTCAATTTAAATATTAAATGTTGCAGAAATCAATAAAATATAATTTGTGTAAATCACAAATACTATGACAATTATTCCTTCTTTATTGGTTTTACTAAAAGATCATTCATACCTGCATTTAAACATGCAGTCTTTGTCTTAGGATCTCCATCTGTAATAATATTAATCAACATTTATACTTACCACCACTTAATCCTAAGATCTTACATTTAGGTAACCCTTTTGCTTTCTCATGAGCTCTTATTTGTTTGGTCGACTAATAAAATGTTCACTCCCTTACATCATATCCATCCATAACTGGCATATGAATATCCATTAAAACATGAGCAAAATTAGGTGTTTTTTAATAAGCTTCCAATGCTTACTTCCCATTAGATACTACTACACATTCTACTTTAAGAGCCCCATAAAGCATTTTTAACAAATTCTAAGCAAAGGGTTCATCATCTGCTACCAATACCTTCTTTCCGTCCATAATAATAAAATATATATATTTATTAATCACAATTTATTCTTTCTTTGTTTCTTACTATCTATCTACGTTTACCCTTCTCCATATTCTTCAATTTCAAGTTCTTCTTTATTTTTTTAGACTAAAATATAAATTACAAATTAATACTTTTAACAACTAATCTGGTCTTTTTATCTCTTACTTACCTCCTCTTTATGGTCCCTCCTCTTAATTAAAGTAATATCCTTTGCTTCTCATTTGTCTCTTTTTAAACAACTCTTTTGCTCTAGAAACTATTTATTGATGCTAAAATATAAGTAAATCTTTACTTCTTCTTCTCCAACATTCTATAATTAAATACTTGTCTATTTCTGCCATTTCTTAAAATCTTATTTTCCTTTTTCAACCTTCATACCACGATCCTCTTTATCTTATTGTTAAGTGCCTTCTTATTTACATACTTTTTTTTGTCTTTATCCCAAGCCATCTATTTTCTTTTACGTAATGCATCGGTATCATCAGAAATTACAAAAGGATTTATATCTTCTACTATAATCTTAAGTAAATCTTCAAATTCTGAGCTTTTTGTCGGATCCCTTTATGTAGGAATAAAGAATTTTTAATCCATAAAATTTTCTATATTTAATGATTTTTTTATTTCTTTAATTCAATCTTAGGAATAGCTTTCTTTTTTATACATCCTTCAAATGAAAAACAGCCTTCATAAAAGGATATGATTTTGAATTTTATTCAAATTTCTTTATTTCTATAACACTCTAACTAGATTTAAAATTCTTTATCTAATTTAACATATCTTTTGTATCTTCTTCGACTTAAATCTTATCTTTAAATAAAGGATGAACTAAACTGGTATCTATATTTGTTTTAACTTTCTTAGCCGATCCTCTTGTCTTACGAAATTTCTCATTAGCTCTTATTGCTATTTACTTATAATTTTAAAACTCAATATCATCATTTAAATCATTTAACTTCTCTTAATTTTACATTAACAATTCAATTGGTACATTACCATAAAATGCTAATGCAGGATCATTAAAATCACCTTCATTCATAATTTTCTACCAACATTAATCATTGTTTCTTTAATATATAGAATTTCTTCTGATGTCAAAGCATATACATAACCTGCTTTACCTGCTCTTGCTGTACGACCAGATCTATGAATAAATATTTTAGGATTCGAAGGATAGTCATAATGTATAACATTGGCAACAAAAGGTAAATCTATACCTCTACTACTTGCTAAATCTATTACAATTAACACTTTCACTTAATTCCTTTTAAAATTATCTAATTATTCTTTTTTGTTCAATTAATCCATTTTACCGTAACATGAACAGATGAAATATGAAATTTATTTAAAGCTTAAGAGAGCATATCAACTAAAAAACGTGTCGATGCAAATATCAAACAAGTATCTTTCAATTAACTTATTAAATATATTAGAGCACTTAATTTATTGTCATTTGCTGCAAGTAAAAAATGCAATTACATCTTATCTGGCAATTAAAACTCTTTATCTAATTTACAAAATATATAATCCTTTAAACCCACAGATGCAAACATACTGAGTTATTCTGGGATTGTAGCAGAAAACATTAATGAGTGTTTTTAAGAAGGAAGATGAGTTAAAGTTTATTTTAGTTGATCTGCCAAACCAATTTCAAAAAGAAAATCAGCCTCATCATAAATTACCATCTAAACTCTTGATAATTTTAATCTATCTTCCAATAAATGTTACAATGCTCTACCAGGAGTACAAATCAAAATGTCAGGATTTGCAGCTAAATTTTCAAATTAACCCTCAAACCCATGACCTCCAACCATAATAGAGTATTATAGATCTGTAAATTTACATAAACTTTTAACACTGATGCAATTTGTAATGCCGATTCTCTTTTCGGAAGAAGAATTAATCCTCTTATACCTACTACTGTACTATGATTCTGTAGCTTATTTATTAGAGGAATCAGAAAAGCAGCTGTTTTACCAGATCCAGTCTTTGAGCAAGCCACAATGTCACATCCTGCTAATATTTAAGGTATTGCCTAAATAATATATGTCTGGAAATTATACTTTTCTCTAAATTGGAGTAGGAACATTATATCCCTAAATAGGTCTATAAAGTTCTGGGATTAATCCCATTGATTCAAATCCTCCTGATTTCTTGACTTTAGTTTAATCCATATATTAAATAATTAAAATACAATTGAGATGATAATATTCATGTTATTCCTTTGAATATGATATTAAAAGATATAAATTTTAAATGAAATTATACACTTAGAAATGATTTAAATGATCTCAACCTTTATTGAAGAATGAATAGGTTTCAAAAATATAAAAATTAATTTTTCTCCATAAATAATAATTAAAAATGGAAAGAGCTGCAAATCTCATATTAATAGCAGGATCCCTACTCGTAGGAGGTGGAATGCTATTTAAGTCCTTCTTTTATACAGTAGATGGTGGACAAAGAGGATTAATATTTGATAGATTTTAAGAGTGAAAGAATCTGTCTATGGAGAAGGAATGCATTTTTTTATTCCAGTTAATTAAGTATTGAATAATATCATGACGATATCTAATCTCCAATTGTAGCTGTAGTGCGTCTATAACCAAAAACCGTGGCTTCTCACACAGGAACAAAAGCTTTTAAACAGTGGATATTGCTATTAGAATGCTTCATAAACCAATTGAATAATATTTACCAGAAATTTATGATTAATTGATAAAAATGAGAGAAAAGATTTCCAAAGAAATTAAGGAAGGTTTAATTGAAAGAGCAAAGGATTTAAAATAGTTTTGGAAGATGTATCGATTACTCATTTAGGATTTACGAAAGAATATGCTTAAGCTATTGAAGCTAAATAAGTTGCTTAATAGTTGGCTGAAAGATAAAAGTTTATTGTTTTAAGAGATGAAGATGAAAAGAATGCTAAGATTATTTTATCTGAAGGAGAATCAGAAACTGCAAGGTTGATTAATAAAGCTGCAAAGTCATATGGAACATGTATTAATATATTATTTATTTTAATAGCTTAAATCGAAATAAAAAAATTAGAGACTGCTAAACATATAGCTGAGACTTTAGCTAAGAGTCCAAATATATCATGGATACCAACTGGTAATGGAGTTTCAAATCTATTGAATTTGAAAACATTTTGAGAATTTAATTTATATTATTGAATGTGTATATATATATCATGCTTTGACGAGTTTTCTTAACACATATTATAAGATACCTCCATGTTTGTAATATTCAATTTCTACTTCAGTGTCCGATCTTGATTTAGCTTAGAATTTTTTACCAGTTGCTCAATATTATATAAATTAAAGAATACATGTTTCAACAGTGTATGTTTAACCAAGAGTTAAATTGCTTGTATTCACATTAATTGTGAATTATTCCTTTCCTGTTAATCCAAGTGTATCAGCACTTTCTCCTTATAAGAATTCAAGTGGTAAGATACCCATTTCAACTAAGTTAGATCTATGGATTCTTTCAAATGATTATGCAATAACACATTTAACACCTTATAAATATGGTCCTCTATTTCATATAGTATGTATAATTACTTTGTTGCCCAATCTCTACTACTACCTGAATCATATTCTTAACCAGCTAAAACAATAGATTGATTTCCTTCTCTCATATGTTTATCAGCTGCATCAAATACATCCATTACTTCTCCTGTTGGAACATAAACAGTTTAAGGTCCAACCTTACTAACTAATTTGTTGATGATACTAGTGTTAGCGAATGTACCTCTAGCCATAATTTCATCATTTCCTCTTCTGGCACCATAAGTATTAAAATCTTTCTTAGTGACACCTTTGCTTTTGAGATAACGACCAGCAGAGAGTTTTCAGCAATAGAACCTGCTGGTCAGATGTGATCTGTAGTAATGAAATCACCTAAGTTCAAAGGACAATATGCTTTCTTAATTGGTTAAACTAGTTTTGGATTTAATTCTGTTGTTTAGAAAAATGGTGGATTATGAATATATGTGGATTCAGGTTTCCATTTATAAAGATCAGTCTTATTTACTTTTAATTAATTCCATCTTTCAGTTCCTTCCTAATTATTTATGAATTTTCTAATCAATTCGAGTTTATAAATTACTTAAATAGATTTGATCAACTTCAAGATCCCATTCTACAATAAATAAAATTTTTTAAATCTCATATCTTCTTGATTTCTTTGCTTTTATATAATTTTAGAAGGGTAATGTATTATATAGTTAAAATATTTTGTAATTAAAAAGATTAAGTCTGAATGCAGTTTAAAAACTTAAGAAATAAATTCATATTTAATAAATTCATTAATAATAAATGAAGTTGTTACTTTACTTTCAATAGAATAACTATTAATTCTACATTGTCTTTAATTCAATTAAATAAATTTTATTGATCTTGTTGTAGATGAAATATTTTGAATCTGATGTAAAATGTAAAGTTTAAAAAATAATATTTGTTTCCTCTTAATACAATATTGTTTAAGCTTAAAAATCAAAGAGCAAATGAAAATATGAATCGGAACTAGATCAGATTTTTTGACATCAAATGCAATATAGTACTAATTCTCTAAAAGTTTTACTAATCTAACATAGTCATCATTACTTTCTTTTGAGTTATCTAGATTACTTTATTCAGCACAATTAACTGATAAGCACCTATGTTCAAAATTTCCTCATAATTTTATATATTGATTCATTTTCAAGCAATATTTAAAGATTAAAAAAAATTATAATAATTTTAAAATATAAAAATATTAGAATTTTATCATTTAAAAATAATAATTTAGATAATTAATTTCTTTTTGTTAGACAATTTATGTTCAATCTTATACATCATGCGAATTCATCAATTATAATATTCACCACCTGATTGTTTAATTTAGATTAACTATCCACCATTTAATTATTTTATTAAAATACATCATTCTCTTTTAACAAATATATTTCCATCTAGTTATGAACAAATAATATATTATATTATTGATATTTTGCTCCAGAAACTACAGTCTGCAATTTTATAATTCAAATTTTAAAAAATAGAAATTCCATCTGATTTTTGTTAATATGTAACATCTAAATTATCTTGAGTTTTTCAATTAAATTTGAGATTTCGTTATTAAGGTTTAAGTTATATGTATGAGATCAAATACATATAATTTTCTTATAAATATTAGTCTACAATCTAAAAGATTTAGTTTTAATAAAATTTTTAATTTTAAATTAGAGTATATTGCTATTCCTTTCACATATAGATTTTTTATTTCAATATTGAAATTTTCAATCACATTAAGGAAAATAATTAATAATTCTCAAAGATTATAGAAACTAAAACAATCTAATTGATTTCTAAAAGATAAAATACAGCCATATTGTGTAAATTTAATAAACTAAGCGTTCTGGATTACTAATGAATGGCAACGTAATTTAAATAGTAAATTTTAAACTTTTAAGGTATAGATAGATTTTTTATATGTAAAAGATTATTATTATTATTTAAACAATTAAGTTTTTAATGTTAAGAAATTGACTTTGTTAAATGGTTTATTTTCCTAAACTTTTACATTTTTAATACTAATAATTAAATTATTAATTTGAAGACTTCAATAAATTGTTTTCACATCATAATAGAATGAAGACCCTATATAAGTAGAATTAAAAATTGAACCAATTTCAATTACAATATTTCAATAGTAATCATTACTGAAATATTTTTTATTTTAAATAGAGTTGAATTATTAAAAAGGCAATTTTTGATAGTTAATTTTCAGATTAATATCGATTTTTAAATTGATTGTATTTAAAACTGAAAAAAAGATTGAATCATAAAGATAAAGATATTCTATTTTTGTTTAATCATATACAATATTTGTGTGATTTAGAACAAAAGATATTTAAAAATTTAACATGCTTATTATTAATATAGGAACAATAACTCAATCTTACTTGAGGAAATTTATCTTATATATACCTTTTTGTTTAATCTAGGAACTTTAGTTTAATAATATTCTTCCATATTTTCAGAAATAGTCAATATTTATGGATACTTAGATTAAATAACTGAAATATATGTTAACTGATAATTAACAAAAACACAATACAAACAAATTAGTAGAAATTCATTTCAAATGAGAATGAAAATGCAATTGTAGTTCCTATTGTAGAATTAATGTTTTGCTAACTAAGTTTATCCTTGAATTTACTTAAATTTTTTTTAAACAAGCGATTGTTCCCATTTTGAATTAACCTACTAATTTCATTAAATAATATGTTTTATTACTCAACAAGAAAAGATGCCAAATTAATGTTATATATGTCTATTAGGATATAATATTCTTTCATTTTTACCTATATCAAAAGAATCTGAAGCTTTGAAATCAGAACATATCAAGAAATGTATTTATTATCAACTGTTTGACTTGTTTAAAGATATAATAACTTATTAATTTTAAGTGTAATGTCAACAACAATGACTTATACAATGATTGAACTTATAATGCAATATTATCAGGTAAGTAAGTGATTGAATAATGAAGATGATTATTGATAATGAAGCATTACATTATTTGTTTCAAAAAATTATAATTGATAAACCCTATTAATGGTGATTTAAATAATTTGATCTCCATTACAATGTTTGGAATTACAGCCTATCCTTGTTTTCCATGTAAATTGTACTCTGAATGGAGATAATTAGCATTCAATCTAAATCCATTTCTAATACTACATTTTTTAATGATTGGAATCTTTACCTTCTATCAAGTATCAAGAGAGAATGTTAGTAAAAAAAGAGAACAATTTCAATCCTATTAATGAGTGCTCATAATCTATCTTTAGATGATCAATAAGAAATACGACTCTTTCTACTAAAATTCAGAATAATCTTTTAAAAACTTTAAAATTGACTCATCTAAATCTGCCGCATTTATGAGTTTCTCGAATTTTTCTTTAATTTCTTTATTTTTACATTTTGAATAATGTGATCATCCTTATTTGATAGTATAATATCGCAAAGTAAATATTTAAGTTTCTTACTTATCAACTCTAAAAATTATTTTGTTAAACAATATTTAAATATAATTATATATCAACTTCAAGGTTATTTTTATAACATCTCTAAAAGTTCCAATAAGGCATAATCATTTTCTATATCTAAAGAATTAGCAGGCTTAACAGTTAATCAATTTGATTCTTTACTATTTTAATGATCGAGGTAATGATTTCTTATACAGAGATGTTATCAATTCTAAATAAATAACAACCAAAACTTCTAAATTAATAATTATGTTTTGACATTAAACTAACCACCTAAGAAGTGAAAAGATATTCAACTTGTTAATGAATTAATTCATAATTGTTTAAGAAATAGTAATTTTCATAACTATTAAATAATATTCCATCATCAATAATTGATTCTTATTATTTAAGCATTACTTATGAATATAAAGGTCTTGATGTATCGAAAGCTGTATAATATTATTTTTCAATTTCTTCTAATTATCCTGTTGATTATTTGAGTTAATTTAATTTAATAGTTAAGAATAAAAACCCATGTAATTTTGATAAATACTATTATATTACATTCTCATCAGCGCAATAACTTCCAGGTACAGCAGTTAAATTAGAACAACTTTCTAAAACAAGCAATAATTATGTCATTTCCTATCGATCATCATTTCCTGTATAATCATGGTTTAAAACAATAGTTCCATCACTTATCGATATTTTAAATGGCTTATTTTCACTACTGAATAATGGAATTGGTTTATCAACTATAGTTGTATTTAAAATTCTATATAAATTAGGAGTAATTATATTATTTTCTTTTCTAAATGGATCGATATCACCCAAAAAATCTTATAATTCTAATTCAATAATAGAGTTNGTTTTCCATGTAAATTGTACTCTGAATGGAGATAATTAGCATTCAATCTAAATCCATTTCTAATACTACATTTTTTAATGATTGGAATCTTTACCTTCTATCAAGTATCAAGAGAGAATGTTAGTAAAAAAAGAGAACAATTTCAATCCTATTAATGAGTGCTCATAATCTATCTTTAGATGATCAATAAGAAATACGACTCTTTCTACTAAAATTCAGAATAATCTTTTAAAAACTTTAAAATTGACTCATCTAAATCTGCCGCATTTATGAGTTTCTCGAATTTTTCTTTAATTTCTTTATTTTTACATTTTGAATAATGTGATCATCCTTATTTGATAGTATAATATCGCAAAGTAAATATTTAAGTTTCTTACTTATCAACTCTAAAAATTATTTTGTTAAACAATATTTAAATATAATTATATATCAACTTCAAGGTTATTTTTATAACATCTCTAAAAGTTCCAATAAGGCATAATCATTTTCTATATCTAAAGAATTAGCAGGCTTAACAGTTAATCAATTTGATTCTTTACTATTTTAATGATCGAGGTAATGATTTCTTATACAGAGATGTTATCAATTCTAAATAAATAACAACCAAAACTTCTAAATTAATAATTATGTTTTGACATTAAACTAACCACCTAAGAAGTGAAAAGATATTCAACTTGTTAATGAATTAATTCATAATTGTTTAAGAAATAGTAATTTTCATAACTATTAAATAATATTCCATCATCAATAATTGATTCTTATTATTTAAGCATTACTTATGAATATAAAGGTCTTGATGTATCGAAAGCTGTATAATATTATTTTTCAATTTCTTCTAATTATCCTGTTGATTATTTGAGTTAATTTAATTTAATAGTTAAGAATAAAAACCCATGTAATTTTGATAAATACTATTATATTACATTCTCATCAGCGCAATAACTTCCAGGTACAGCAGTTAAATTAGAACAACTTTCTAAAACAAGCAATAATTATGTCATTTCCTATCGATCATCATTTCCTGTATAATCATGGTTTAAAACAATAGTTCCATTATTTATAGATATTTTAAATGGCTTGTCTTTGTTACTAAATAATGGAATTGGTTTATCAACTATAGTTGTATTTAAAATTCTATATAAATTAGGAGTGATTATATTATTTTCTTTTCTAAATGGATCGATATCACCCAAAAAATCTTATAATTCTAATTCAATAATAGAGTTCGATAATTAAAATTCTGCATATGATATGCTTTATTATTTAACACTGACAATAGGAGGTATTTAATGATCAATCCATAATATCATTACATGTAAAAAATAAGTTAAACTTATGCTTCCAATTATAAGTGTAACTATTCCACCAAGCTTACTTTAATATAAGGAAGCCTTGGCCTTAGTTAAAAGATTTATTGGAACTCCAAAAATATCGAATTTGTCAATAGTATTTAGTATTTTGTTCATTTTAATTAATAATAAATCATTGATTAAATAATTTCAAATTTTTATAGTATAATTAATTATTTATACTAATTTTCTTTTTTTGAGAAGTCTAAAAGAATATGGATTTGACAGCCTTAATAAGCATTTAATATGCAATTTTATTTATAATTAAGTTTACTACATCTTTTCAAATTCCATTAATCTACAAAGCTTCAAATTTACACATTCTTCCATATTTTATACTCCACAATATCTAGAAGGTCTGTGATTGAATACTTTAAATAACCTTAAGTAATATCAAGTAATCGATCCTTAGATCTTTCTCCAAAAATATTGGAGGTTAAGCATCTAGCATTATAAATGTTCTTAATTAAAACCATCCTAAAATATAGTTATATTTGTTATAGTTTATTGACAATAACACTCCTCGGGTTGAAATGATAAATTTTATTAGCTAAAGTTGTTACAATAATTGTCTGTTTATTAATTATGATGTTCATTATAACTATTTACTTTTAGATCTTAAAGAAGAAATTATCCATTTATTATCCTGTTGATAGGTGATATTATTTTTGTTATTCAGAAGTTATTAAATTATGAACCATAATAACAATTTATAAGCACCCATCTTCTCTTAATCTATACTCAACTTGTCAATTACTTCCATTAGTTGAGATTAATCCTAAATAATTTTAGATAATTCATCCAATATCCACTCTTATTGTAATTAATTCATATAAAGAATTAAAGACAATTTTAACTTAAAACCAAGAATATCTTGAATAATGAAATCATAGGATTTAAATTATTCGTTTATTCAGAACTTTAAAATCCTGGTAATTTAATGGTAAATTATAGACCATTATTTAATTATGAGTTGATATTTTTAATCATTGAATTATCTCTATTCTATAATGATTTTCAATAATAAAAAATATACAATAGGTAAAAGTAATAAATTTTTAATAGCTAATTAACAAGCAAAATTTAGCTTAAATGGTTATATTGTCAAAACAGGTGAACTATTTCGAAAATTAAGAAAGGGGTATTGATAAACAAATTATAATTTCAATTTTTCATTTAAAGTTTATAAATGTCCATTCCTTAGGACCCTACTCCGAGTCAATATTTTACTAAAAATCATTGATGATTCATATCCTTATGGAATAATAATTTTTTCATTTTTCAAAACTCCTAAAATATTTATAATCATGTTATTTTATTTATCAATTTAAGATCTAACTCTAAAAAGTTTAGTTTCTATAGTTTCGGAAAAGCATTCTTTTTAAGCATCTTCAAAGAATTAATTTGAAGCAATTTTCCTGAAATATTTATAGTGATTAAAAAAATGTCTGAAAAGCTAAATTCAACTGCTTTAAAGAAATTTAAAATTTTCATGAGTATAAAGAGCAGGCATGTTTCTCTCATTCGTATCTAAAAAAAAATATGGTAAATGACAAATCAGTAGGATTTTTAGTAGAATCAAAAAAAATTTTATGTTATTCTGTATATAAACATTCTTTGAATAAACAGCAAGTGGCAAATTAAATAAAGAAATTTTTTCTAAATTGCTAAGAATCTAGATTATTATAACTAGATAAGATAATTGAACAGATTAGACAAAATTTTTAAAATATTTTTTCACTTTTCAAATTGCTGCCTACAAAAATGGCAGCATCCTCTGATTAAATTAATTTTGGTATTGTTAATCATAGAAACTTTAAAGTGCCATAAAATTGTTACAATTTGGGTCATCTTTATCCTAAATCCTTCCAAAATAGCAACTTAAAAAAAATCAATTCACTAAATTGCGATAATTTATTTTGTGTTCATTAGGAGTCAAGCCATTCAAATAAATATTTAATTTCAAATTTACCTATTTTATTCAATAAAAATAAATCCAAATCATCATAAATAATATCTGGGCATCAATAAAAATGACATTTTTTATTCAAGCTTATATAAATGAAAAAAGTAATAGAAATTCAATATTTATTTTAAAAAGTTAATGAATTGCACTTATGAATAGAAAAAGGATTTGTTTGAAATTTTAGCTTCTTTAAAGGATATTGATGCACAAATATTCTGTATCGTGATTGAAAAATCAAAATGATTTTATTTATTTTAGAAAAAAAATTTAATTTTTATGGTTTCAATTTGCATTATCAATTATGTTAAAATATGTTTAATCTTATTAGCAAAATTAATTCATATTAATCCAATATAAAGTAATTAATTCAATATATAGAAATCAATTTAGAATATAGATTAATACAGATATAAGATTATCATAAATTAAGTCAAAATCCCTTAAACTATATTTATCCACCAACTTTAGGAATGTTGATAGAGATTTGAAGGGTTTATTGCTATTTCTTATAGGATATTTCTTGATTAACAAAACGTCTCCAAGTTGCTTTTTTTTTGAAATTGGTTTAATAATAGGAGAGAACTTTTTAATTTATTATGAAACCGAAAAAAGCGAGTTTAAGAATCAAAATTATTCAATCTTTATTTATTTTTGTTATCTTGCTAATAAGTATTAGTTTCTATTTATTGCCTATTTTTCAGAAAGATAATTAGAATAATTAAAAATATATTATACTGTAACCAATGGTTTAAATCATTTAAAATCCATTTCTCAATATTAATTTTAAGGTTATTCCCCTCTTACCATTCGTTACTTGTAATTTAAATAAAGCAATTATACATCATTAATCTCTTCATATATAAAATTAATTTTATTGACTTTTTTGTATCTTCTAGTTTTTTTGAGTAGATTTAATTCAATCTAATATTTAAATCATACAATTACCATAAATGCTGTATTTATCACATATATCTGCTAAAAAATAAAGATGTAAATAACTAATGGAAATCCTAAAACTTCACTAGAGTTGGATTAATATGAACAAGTCATAAACATTTGATTTCAGAATAACTTTTCTACTTTCATAGTATCACAAAAGCAAAGACAAAATAAATGACAAATGTAAATATTTGAAGTTTAAGGTTAAAGGATTAATAATTATTATCGCTATATATACATAAGTTTTCTTATTTTTTAAGCTCCAAAATTCATCAGATTATGGTAGGTGTTGTTTCCATAAAATTGATACATCATAATTTAATAGTGCTCTTATTAATACAGAGCTCTTAATATAAACAATTTTACATTCTTTAAAGATTGCCTTGGATACTCAATAATATATCTGTCTATTTAAAGATATTATCAATTAATTGCGTATATATTAAAATTATTGACCTTATTATATTATTATTCTCTAAACATAAATAATGAAGTTGCTATCAACTATAGTATTTATTACATTAGAATAAATCCTTAATTCTAATCAGTGTATTAAAATGATAATTTTATCTCTCTTTTACTAACAATATAGATCTCTAACTTTTCTAGATTCAGTAGATATTGTTCTAATGCTTAGATCTTTGAGATTGAACTTCAACTATTTCGATCCTTAGATCTTTCTCCAAACATATTGGAGGTTAAGCATCTAGCATTATAAAGAGTTCTTAATTACAACCATCCTAAAATATAGTTATATTTTTTTATAATTTATTGACAATAACAATCCTCGGGTTGAAATGATAAATTTTATTAGCTAAAGTTGTTACAATAATTGTCTGTATATTAATTATGATGTCCATATAACTATTTACTTTTAGATCTTAAAGAAGAAATTATGCATTTATTATCCTGTTGACAGCTGATATTATTTTTGTAATTCAGAAATTATTAAATTATGAACCTTATTAACAATTTATAAGCACCCATTTTCTCTTAATCTGTCCTCAACTTGTCAATTACTTTCATTAGTTAAATTTTAGATAATTCATCCAATATCCACTCTTATTGTAATTAATCCTTCTCCATCATATAAATAATTAAAGATATTTTTAACTTAAAACCAAGAATATCTTGAATAATGAAATCATAGGATTTAAATTATTCGTTTATTCAGATCTTTAAAATCCTGGTAATTTAATGGTAAATTATAGACCTTTATTTAATTATGAGTTAGATATTTTTAATCCTTGAATTAGCTCTATTCTATAATGATCTTCAATAATAAAAATATACAATAGGTAAAAGTAATAAATTTTTATAGCTAATTAACAAGCAAAATTTAGCTTAAATGGTTATATTGTCAAAACAGATGAACTGCTACGAAAATTAAAAAAGGGGTATTGATAAACAAATTATAATTTCAGTTTTTCATTTAAAGTTTTTATATGTCCATTCCTTAAGACCCTATTCCATGTCAATATCTCACTAAAATCATTGATGATTCATATCCTTATGGAATATTATTTTTTTCATTTTTCAAAACACCTAAAATATTTATTATTATGTTTTTTTATTTATCAATTTAAGTTCTAATCCTGTAAATCTAAAAAGTTTAGTTTCTATAGTTTCGGAAAAGCATTCTTTTTAAGCATCATCAAAGAATTAATTTAAAGCAATTTTCTTAAAATATTTATAGTGATTAAAAAAATATGTGAAAAGCTAAATTCAACTGCTTTAAAGAAATTTAAAATTTTCATTATTATAAAGCTCAGGCATGTTTCTTTCATTCGTATCTAAAAAAAATATGGTAAATGACCAACCAGTAGGATTTTTAGTAGAGTCAAAAGAAATTTTATGTTATTCTGTATATAAACATTCTTTGAATTAACAGCAAGTGCCAAATTAAATAAAGAAATTTTTTCTAAATTGCTAAGAATCTATATTATTATAACTAGATAAGATAATTGAACAGATTAGCAAAATTTTAAAAAGTTTTTTCATTTTTCAAATTGCTGCCTACAAAAATGGCAGCATCCTCTAATTAAATTAATTTTGAGTAATGTTAATCATAGAAACTTTAAAATGCCATAAAATTGTTACAATTTGGGTCATCTTTATCCTAAATCCTTCCAAAAAAGCAACTTAAAAAAAATCAATTCACTAAATTCCGATAATTTATTTTGTGTTCATTAGGAGTCAAGCCATTCAAAATGATATTTAATTTCAAATTTACCTATTTTATTGAATAAAAATAAATCTAAAGCATCATAAATAATATCTGTGCATCAATAAAAATGACATTTTTGATTCAAGGTAATATAAATGAAAAAAGTAATAGAAATTCAATATTTATTTTAAAAAGTTAATGAATTGCATTTATGAATAGAAAAAGGATTTGTTTGAAATTTTAGCTTCTTTAAAGGATATTGATGCGCAAATATTCTGTGTCGTGATTGAAATATTGTTAAAAGAAAAAATTTCGGATTCTCTGGAATTTTTTTCTCAATATCAAAACCAGAATCAGTACTTATAATATATTGTTTAAATAAAAGATTTGTAAATTTTAGATCAGTAGTAAAAGTTAGATATTATAACTCAAAAGATAATTGAAATTATCAGTGTCCTTAAATAGATTAATGAGCACGAATATAATAAAAGTGATTATTCTACCGAAATTTTTAAAGAATAAAGAATATCTCTTATTAATAAAATAAAAG